AGCTTCTGCGCGTCGATGAAAAGTCGCTAGCTGCGGAAGCAACTTCATATGCACGCCTGTCTCTTCAATAGCTTTCAATGCACTAAGATGCGCCAAGTTGCACAGCCGCAGGCCGCGTTTGAAAAGTCATGACACACAGATCGAACAAAGGAGGTTCCGCTCACTGTGTTTTGGGTTTATGCGTGATTATCGTTGCAGCAAAGGCCCCCTGTAAAGTGCTGGCCTCTTGCTCGTCAAAAATTTTTCAAGATCACGGGGCATAACTACCAAATCCCCATGGGCTGTTTAAGTGCACGAGCTCTCCGGATCTTCGAACATAGCCCAAGGTCTGACACCCGCGCGGCACACCATAACTTGACAACAGAATCATCGACACGGAAGCTTTAAGCCCAAAACTTCGGCTTAGGTTTCCGGGCACTCGGTCCTAAACCCACAGAGCGAAGACCTACAGTTTATCTGACGCAAGGCACCGCGGGCCCTTCACTCATCCTCTGGAAGGGCTCCGGCTGCGAGGATCAAGGGTCCAGTGGTACGGCCTGCCCAAACCCATATCAGGTTTGCTTGGGTTTCGGTTCTGGCGGGGTTTAGGGTTCATCTTGCGGGTGAAGAGGGCCAGCAATTATTTTGCGTGGTCAGTTCTCACAAATTCACTGTTTTTCATCAGGGACTCGACTGCTGCCCTTACTGCCATCACAAATTCATTCAATTGCAGAAGTTGAGACGCCTTTCCACAGAAGCAAGTTGTGGTCACGTCAGATTCCGGTGTTGGAGGCTGAAGGCAGCTTCTGCGCAACGTCAAAAGGAAACCGCACAAAAGTCTCTGCAAGGCAAAACAGCGTAGTCTGTATCAACACCCCAAGCACGGCAGCCGAGAGCCCTGCAATGCCAGCTTCAGGCGTCACCTCAAACCGCCTGGGCTCAGCGAGTGGAGCCACTTCGTGGGGTTTATAGGGAACGACAAGCTACGTGGTTCTATCCGAATATTGTGATCGTTTCTTTTGCAATTGATGTAAATGAAACTTTTATAAGGGGCTTTATGGGTTTTGTGCGTGGGGCACGAGGTTTGCGATGTGGCCACGTCGGAGCGAGTCGAGGCCTTTTCTTGGCGTGGCTGTGCGGCACTGTGCCAATAAAGCCTGACCCGAAAATGCTGCACAGCAAACACCGAACTCTAAGCAATATGGCAACCATCCGTCCGTATCCAGCCTCAACCCACTCTTGGCTGTTGGGGTCGCCGGCTCACGGGGTGGTGCACCTGCAGGGATTCTCCAGGCAAGACGAGGATTGGCAAAGGGCTTCGGGTGTGTTTTCCATGATTGGCATGCTTGGGGGCGAAGGCTTCCGGCGCCTGCTCAGGTCTGAGACCTTTTGCGACCTTACAAGTTGGAGCCGGTGTGAAGCGGACACAGCAGCAGCTCACCAAAGCTTTTCGAACATGTTCAATAGGACCTCTACCTTCCTGCTAGCCCAGACTCAAGAAGTGCCAAAACCTTCCAAGCTGAAGGCTGCAAACTCACTTGGCCCCGACGGCAGAGCCCCTTTTCAGGGTATTGGAGTTTTTAGGCTACGAGGGTGCGGGGCTGAGGTTTCGGAGTCCTTTTCTTTTTGTCTTTCAGAAAGGGCTATCCGAATCCCTTGGTTAGGGTGCAGGATCCAAGGCTCCGCCATTGCATCCCTGGCGTCTCGATGCTCAGGCAAGCATGCGGCAAATGGACGGAGCAGTTTAGGTTAGGTGCCTGCGCAAGTAACAGTTCTTAGAAGAAACCCTGGGCCCGTTGATACCCTAACGAACAGGGACCCAAATGTGGAAGCCGGTACCTTACAGACCCAAAATTTTAAGAGCCACCCGTTTCACCGTAAGTCTAAGGTGGTTCAAAAGCGGATGTGCTCTGCACCTGGCGAAAGGAACTCCCCGGCAGGCAGCGTCTCCGGGCCAGCACCTGGCCCTGACTCCCAAATCTCTTGAGGAAGGCTCTGTAGCAAGAGTTGCAGAGACTACAGAAAGCCTTCTGGTGGGTTAAGGAGCAGTCTTTTAAACTATAGTAACTACAGCAGGAGTCTAAAATCGGGGAGTCTTATTGGGGTATCTGGAAGAGGTCTTTCAGATGCATGGGCGCAGCTCCCTGAACCCCTAAATCCATGGCGACACCTTGAACCGCTACTGTCACAAAACTTGTTTCAACAGAAAACTGAATACAAGGACTCATCTCCTCCGACATTGGACAAACACACACACACACATATATATATATACATATATATAGATTTTTATATATGTAGGTGCACACAAATGCATATGCCTCTCTATCTATGTATCTATCCATCTGTCTGTGTGTTTATGTATTTATGTATATCTATCTACCTGGATGCATATATATATATATAAATATATGTACACATATGTAGATGTGTAAAACTAGGTTTGTATTCACATGCATGTATGTAGATATGCGACTGATCTTGCAGGCTAAGGCAAAGGCAGCTGCTACCAAGACACAGGCATTAAACCCAATTCCCTGCGAAAGTTCGACCTGGATCTGTCGCTGCAGGTGCAGTCGCGGAGCTTGCGCCTTTGCAGAGTGTGCAGCATTCTCTTGCTGCGGTAGCTGCAGTTGTGGCAACAGGAACAGCTGAAAACACTCCGACAATCCTGTGCAGCTCGACTTGACCTGCTCCAGTAAGTTCACTCCAAGGACTTTCCCCAGTCACTTGAAAGGGCCGCGCCGGCGGCAGCCGCATCTTGCGTCACTGTCGGCGGGGGAGCATGCCTCACGTGAAATTTCAGCAGATTCTGCGCTCCAGGCGCAGGCACAGGTTGACCAGAGGAGTTTGAGGGCAGCGACTTTGGCATGTATCACGGACAGAAAGTTGCCAAGACATGCCAGATCGAACGTCGCATTGGCAACTCGTGTCTGCAAAACGCAAATCGTCGATGCGAGCCTCTCCGCTGCTGCAGGGACGCTGCCGGGAACCTGCCGCGAGGGCATCAGGAGCCCAATGCGCAAGGGAAACGAATACCTCAATGCCCAAGTACGAAACAGTAAATACTAAGTTCGAGTTCCTTGGCCCTTAGAATCCCCAAGTGCATGGACCCCTGATCCGTCAAGTTCTTCTCAGCCAAGACTCCTGGACAGGCTGGCGCCCTGCGGGTGAGGACGTGGCTTTGGCCGCCTCGTGATGCAGTCGAGCAAGGACCGTACTCTGGCTTCGGGTTGAAACAGGGCTGCGGTTAGGGTTTAGGTGTAAAGTGTCTTAGGGTCGTCTTCAGGCCCGAACCCAAGCTTGTTTTTGGAGGCTTCAGCAGCTGTAAGGCACCGCCTCTCAGAGGGCGAGGAAGTGGCGCGGACCCCAAAACAAACCTCAGATACAACGATCCTTAGTATGAGAACCCAAATAGGTACCTCTACTTTCAGAAATTCGCGACACGGATACTGCATTTACACTTGGATGACTTCTTGGGCGTACTGGGCCCCAAGTTGTGGGGCTCCGATGTCGGGCATCGAAGCGTTGTGCTCAGTCTTAGTGCCCTTCCACATCTCATCTTTTTCCCCCAGGCCATGTCGTGTTCATCTAATTCTTAGGCAGCTGTTCTTTGCGGTCAATCTAGTCTTTTGCGGGTTCGTATTCTCAGAACTCTCCCTAGAGTGTGAAGAAATCTCGCAGGGTTGCTCCACCTTTCGGCTGGGAAGCTTCATCCGAACTTCATCCCTTCAGACTTCTCCGGCCGCTGAGCCCATCGCGGTTGGCGTCCAAACTGGGCGGCCTCGGCGTACTACTGGCGGCACTACTACCACGGCTGCTATGCTTCTTCTAGCTAACATGTTCAACATAGAACTAGTCGATCTTCCTCTTACTATTACCCTGATCATGATTGTCGTTGCTGCTGCGACTGCAAGGAATAATACTACGGTTGCGATTTATGTTGCTGCTCCTCTTATTCGTATGAAAATCTTTTCAGCAGGGTTTGACGGGGTTCACGAGGCATGCAGTGGGAATCCCAAAGTAACCGCAAAACTTCAAGTGGAAATGTACGGATGCGAACAGCTGGCTTTGATGTGCTCGCTGTCAAAGCCTTCGAGGCCTCCCTGCCACATCCTAGTGGTTACAGGTCCTTCAAGCCTTACTCTGCTCTCCACACCCCTTGGCCGTACCTGCATGGCAAACAAACCCTTCTTATAGCAAGCAACTGCGGTCGAAGCCTAAGGTGCTGAGTTCACTGCCGCTTTGCTTTGGCGGCTGCTTGGGCGCGACGAAGAAACGGAAGAAACCTCGAGACATTCTTTGGCGCTGCCCCGTGGGATTCCGTTGCCTCCAACAGCAAAGAGAGAGGGGCCTTGTCAATTTTGACTTTGGGATTTTTTATACTGGACTTGCAAGGAAAACCTCTAGGAGTCGTACTCAAGCTTCTATGTTAGGCCCGGCGGCCCCAGTAGTAAGCTTGGCACCAGGAAAGAAACAGCATGGCTGGCAGATGGGGTTCCAATGGCCCAACTACAGAAGGTGTACTACACTATACTCTAATATAACTTAAAGGCCTTAAACGTGCGGTATAATCAAGTGGTGAGAAAGGCTGCAGTTCTCGGATCCTGGCGGCCGCACAAGCCAGGTTTGACTGGCACAGCCACATCACCTTCGGCGGAGGGACGGCTTCGTTCGTCTCGGGTTTGTATCTTTCAACGTTTAGCGATGGGCTTCAATGGCCCAGGGCCTAGGGATGCAGTCCAGCAAAGACACAAGTAGTAGTTCTGATCGCAATGACAATCGGAGCCACGACAACAGGGATTGCAAGAAATGTGATCTCTTGCACAGAAAACATGACTTGACTTATGGAGGCTTCCATGCCCGAACAGAAGCTGAAGGGCACCTGCCTGTACCGTACACATGGAAAGCAGTCAGCTGGGAGGGCTTGCACCAACTGGTCTCGTCCACTTTGGACTTTATTTAGGATGCGATGTTCTTGAAGCCGATACGCAGGGCACCCTGAGATCCAACGAAGGAGCGCCTGGGCGCGTTGGTCCAGCTGTGGCCCCTGTAGGTGTCTGCTCGGAAGCGACCGCAGCGATCTTCGCCGCGAAGTCCGTGCCGTGCAGCCTGGGATAGCAAACGCAACTCCGATTTGCAGTGATGACCAATAGCATGGTCAATTGCACGGCTGACCTGTTCTACAGGGATCGTCAACCGAGCCCCGGATTCGGGCGTGCCTCTGCTTCAAGGTCTGCACGTGTTCCACCTCCTGAGAACAAGGAACAGCTTGTTCAGTTGCAAACAACGAGAAGGAGCTTGTTTAGTGTTCGTCTGGGGATTGTGCCGCCCATTGGACGTGCTTGGCCAGCCCAGCGCTCTTTCACTTCCTTGTTCGGAACTAGAAAAGAGGAACTACGAATTCAATCGAGGAGGTGTCTGTGTAGACGATGTCGAAGATCATTGCCCCGAGCGCGAAGCCACACATACTGGTTTGACAAAGCACGACAGCAACACTCATGATTCCGTTTTGTATTCAAGCATCTATGTTCAGAGAATTAGTCCTTAAAGAAAGGAGCCGCTGCGGTCAACACGTCCCCATATCAAATCCGCATACACCCCTCTCACGTTCCGCACCTTCCGCCCATTTCCCCCGCCCCTACACTTTTAACCGAAAAAAAGCAAAACAACATCAAGAGCTGTTGCAATGTTGGCTTTCGCTCGCTTCTCACGACTCGCACACTACGCTTAGGGTTCAGTCCACCCTTGTCTGGATGCAATCAGTGAACGCCGCATGTTTTGGCTGTTCCTAGATTGCTAAGCGTCTAAGCCCTTTACATAGTGTACTAGTGACCGAGGGTCAAAGTGCAGCCCAGTGTCTGTTTTCCTCCGATCGTCGAGACACTCGCCTGGATGTCGAACCAGAACCACACTGGCAATGACGGTATGTAAAAGGTAGTTAAGATGACGATCCTGATGACAACCAACATCACCGCGATCACCGGCATAATTTTTCCATCAAAGTCCTCAACCCCGCCTACACGCTAGCCCCAAACCCCCAGACCCTACGATACAAATCCCCAAAGACCCCCAATCCCCAAGACTCTCTTGACTCTTGACCTTATCCATCATTACAATACAGAGCTATAACCTAAACGTTATTCCGATTTCTGGTCTATCCAACGAACCCATCATTCCATCACGACATTTGAAGTAGGTAGATCCTACACCCCTCATGTAGCCACTCGCCCTTGGCAATCTTTTGCAGTGCAAGTGGCGCCATGCGCTCCAGGCCACCTGGGGTTGACAAAAGGGGCCTACTCTGTTTTTCCGGGGAGCCTAACTTGTCCCTTGATGTAGGGGGGCTTCGTATGTTCTTCACGGAACAGGGTTTCTGTTCTGTGAAAAGAACCGGGTTCATCGCTGAAGTAAGGAATGAAAGGTAGATAAGTTTCTCGCAGTATGATTGAGGCGGTATACTTACATTCCGAAACTGCCGAATCTATGAACAACGAATATACTCGGGTCCACAACATAAACAAGGTCCATTAGAAGATGCGAAGAGTTCCTGATGCCTTCGATGCGCCGAAACCCCTAGGAACCCCCAGGCTGAGCTGCCAGCTCTCAGGAGCATGGACTGATCTCGACGCTCAATGGACCACAAGAACACAGCCTCAGCCGCGTCACTGCCACTGCACTGCAGGAGGGCTTTGGCGCTGGCTTTAGCTCTCGTGACCCTTGCGATAGTTGGAGCCCCTGGATCCCGCGAGCATGCCAGGCATCCAGCCTGCCGCTGCTGCTGGGAATGTCGATAAGTCGCTCGAAGCTTTGCTGCCTGCAGCTTCAAGGAACTCAAGTTGAAAGATCAGCAACCTTCTTGGGTCTGTGTTTCTGCTGTCGCTGCTCATGACCCTGAAGCACCTGAACCCCTGAGCTCCCGAGCCTCTTGTGCAAGCGTCCTGTCCTCAAGGCAAAGCACACGAATCTTGTGCAGCTGAGGTCAAGGATGCACAGCGCCGCAGATCGCGTTCCCAGAGAGCCCTGCACGTCTTCAAATCATGAAATCAAGATACCATACATTATAGAGGACAACATCTTTTGAACCACAACTTATAACCTTCATACAAGCCAAAAGCCAGTCCTTGTTAAGAGGGCATTTAGAGGGCTCTCTGGGTCGGATTATCAGTTCCCCGAAGCGCCTCCTGCTGCGCCTTGCGAGCATCGTCCTCGACCGCACGCCGGGAGATATCCATGGTCTCGTCCTCGTGTAGGGATGTCTGAGATTGGGGTTTTGGGGTAATGGACCAATGTAGTAAATGGTCTCGTCCTCGTGGGGACGTCTGAATTAGGGTTTTGGGGTATAAAGCAGCCTCAATCGTGAATGGTCTCATCCCTGTGGGGATCTTTGGGAACAGGCTTTAAGATTTCGGCGCTCGTGACAGGAGAACCTGGAGGGGTGGGATTTGGGTTTAGAGTATAGGGGTCCTAAACAATAAGCTCCTCATTACAAACGACTGGACGGTCACACTTGGACACTTCTGGTGTTCCAAAGTTGGACGGTGTTGAGGCTTCGGGATTGATTAGAATTAAGGCTCCCTTGTGAGAGATGTTGATGCTTCTCCTTGGGGGCTTCTTAACACGATGGCCCAAAATAACAAGCTCCGATAATCTCATGTTTGGGAATTCCCGTGGCGTCCCAGTGCTTATTTCTACAAAGGGTTCGGACATGTTCGGCAAGCCGTATGACTTTTAAGAGTGTCATTCACGATGCTGTAGTTTCTCGCGGCAGCCGTTGCGTGACCTCTGGCCATTGCATCGTTCCAGGTGTCTGGCAAACGATATGCTAACTGCTGAGGCAACCTTGCCTAATACGGGTGGGTGGATGCTTTTCGTTCCGCCCAGCCCCAAGCACTGACAGTCACTGACGCAGACCACCGGCCCAATTCAAAAATTATAGAACACCTGACATCCTGCAGCAAGCTCTTGCATTCGCGCTGAAGATCTTGGAATGATTTGAGCTCCAGAAGGCATGTGGAAAAGTCAATATCGACACCCTTGTCTGCGATTGGCGCCCCACCCGCCGGCGCTCTGCGACCAGATCTTTCCATGCTGCCCTTAGAGCGGACAGTGCGAATGTGCTTTGTGCAGACGCGCTCTACACAGGTGTAAGTAAACCTTCCTTGTCTCGCCTGATTACATCAGCAGACCCTGCATGAAGTCGCTCCAGCTTCAGAAGCAGAAGCACTCGTGCAGTTTAGCTGGCAATAAATAGGTCGATAAGTCGGGAGGGAGGTAGTGTAGAGGCAGGTTGGTGGGCGTGTTGGTGCTGTTTTCTGTTTAGTAAAGTACTCGTCGTAGCAAAGGCAGGTAAGAGTAGGTAGGAGTAGTAGTCAGTGATCGCAGCGGCAGCAGCAGAAGCGGAAGCGGAAGCAGTTGGAGTTTGCAGTAGTGGTGGTAGCAGTAGCAGCAGTAACAATATAGGAGTAGCAAGGGCAATGGCAGGAGCAGCCCCGCCTGTCGAGGTGAGAAGCAGAAACCCCGACCCTCAACCTGAACCCTGAAACCCGGAACCCTCATCTGAGGGGCCCGGCCAAAGAATTGGCACCAAAACCTCCTTCTGTGCCTGGCGGGCAAAAGCCACGATTGACGACTACACGCAGAGCTGGTTCAGGGCTTTGATGGGTTTGGGGGTACAGTGTATGGACTAGCAAAGTTATAGGTCATCAACGGACTTAGTAAGTAGGTTAAGGATCGTCCGAACGAGGGTACTTATGAACCTTACTGCGCCCCTTGCGCTCAAGTAGGGGTGCGTAACCCAAACAGCCCAATGCCCTCCATGAAGCAATCGACTTGAACTCATAGTAAGGATGTCTCCAAGGTTCGAAGCTCAAACGGATGTTCTACAGTTTAAGGCTTAAGGGCCAATTGGCCTCCATGATGAGGGAACCTTGCTTGCGGGCGTCATGGCTGAGGTCGGTGGGAGATACTTGTTCCCTTGCAGGGTTAAACTGTCTGTGTTGAACCCGGAAGCATGCTCACGAATTCTCCTCAGCAGGGCCTCTTTGTAGGAGACCCAAACCCAGTTTTCTCAAAGGCGTTCTACTGCGGCAAGCTCTAGGAATACGAGGAGAGGCTGCGCCCGACAGCGCAGATGAAGAAGCTTAACTGCCTTGCAGAGCCCGAGCAGGTGCGCCTTCATCTGGTGGTCAACAGATGAAAGGGCCATCACCGACGCTCGATACCTGGCGATGTCGGGTGCTCTCAAGCTGTCAGCAAGTGCAGATCTAGGAGTGGCTTGTCATCGTTGGCTCAAGGTCAGATCGACGCCACAGGCCCCAGAGTGCTCCCTGATTGCTTCGATCGGGCGCTAGCTGTGTCGTGTGCCTGGGGGCGCATCAGAGCTCGACCTTCGAGAGATTTTTTTGGTTCCTCCGCTTCTTGCACAGGCCGCTAAGCCTTCGTCTCCAAGCGCCGGAGGCTCTGGGCCCAGCGCTTTGGTTTATTCACTTCCAGCATAGGGGCTTCCGGTTTACGATTACTCGCCAGAGGATGCTTGGACTCCAAGATCAGACAAGTTGGGAAAGCTCAAGCTGGGCTCAAAGAGTTAAACAGTTGGTTTGTGACATGGAGCTCTGCCGGCTATGCCCGTGCAAGTGCCAGTTATGCTGGTGTCGGCCACCCAACTGAGAAGTGCTCAACTTCGAATATGGTCCTTGCAGATGGAGAATTTGGCACTTGCGATGAACACTCGCTGTCACATTCTACTCCTCTTCCGCGAGCTTCTCCTCAGCTGACAACTGGGCGCCAAAGAGGAGATAAGTCATTGCTGCGAGTGTGCCGGACATTCCACCAGGAAGTTAAAGACAATATGACACGAGTACAGAAGCATAAGGACCTATGCTGAGCTGCTATACGTATCTGAAGCAACAAAACGGAAAACAATGACGAAAACTCCGCCCCCTCCATTTCACTTTCCAATGCGCTCTAGTCTTTCCCTGTCTCTACCAAGCCAGGGTTACCAAAAAGCATGTAAAAAACTCACAAATGCAAGGCTCCGTGCCAAACTCCCGAAACAAAAACGGCGCCTCCCCCTGAATGAATTGCGCCGGCCCCCGTCAAGACGCTTCTAAGGCCGTAGCCGTCGGTGCTTGGTCGCCGAAACAGGAGCCCCCAGCTCATCCGAATCGGTGCCGAAACCCCCCAAACCCTCAAGTAGGGAACCTCGATCCTAGGCCCTCCGGGAAGACGTGGGACCTCAGAATCGAGGGGCCTTCATAGTTTGAATCGGCTTCCTGTAAGTCTTCTTATCAAGGCTATAATTCTAACACTACTTGTAGCCTACTCACCAAGTCCACTGATACACAAGCATTATCAATTCTAGTCCCTTTTGGATAGTCCCTATCTGATTGTAGTATAAGGCCCGCACATCATAGAACTAGTAGCCCTTCTAGAGAACCAACCCTTCAGAAGAACCCTGGTTAGTTGAGGAAGCCTGAACCCTCAACCCGTTCTGCACAGCGACTCAACCATTGCAAAAACAAGATGCACAACTGCAAGTGCCCTAAACCCTCAACTCCTAAACCTTCCTATACGCCGTTCCTAAACGCCTCCTTAAAGTTCAAGGGTCCCTGTTTCCCTAAAGGGTTTCCTCGGACGGATTCCTTGAAGGCTTTCTGCCCCCGAGTTGCCCGAAGACGATCGATCTTCCGAGGCAGTGCAGCCCAGAACTCCGGGGTCATCTTCCTGAGTATGCACTGTACAATAAACAAAACAACAAACAAATGAACAAATACATGTAAACAAATTTGTACGTAACATCCAGGATGTTATGCTATTGTTATGTTATCGTATATAACGAAAGACAGGATGAAGCTTGTCATAGGGTCTGGGGTGTCTTATTGTTTTCAATAGAGAGACTGGCTTGTAGGAACTGTTGTTGCGACCCCCCATAGCAGTATCCGGGGGCCTGGGCCGACAAGAGGATCCAGTATTGGTTGCGGATCCTCCCATTCCTGAAGGGTCGGGTCGGGTGTTCTGGGAACCCATCCTGCGGCTTGAGTTTCGTTTAGGGTTGAGTTGGTTCATTCGTGTTCAGGCTGTTTCCGAACGAGCCAGGAAGCTGGTAGTTGAAGTACTCCCAAGCAATTTCAGGGAACTGGCTCTTGTTCTCGTCGGTCCAGAACTGATGCCAAAGCCTCGGAGCTGAGCGCAAGATTCTGGAAAGACTCTGAATGGACATCATTCCCGACATTGCCCTACATCATGGTCGGGCTGCAGCCTGGAGCAGCTGGGCGTGATTTTGCATTGCTCAGACTTGGAAGGCTCTTCCGAAAGCCAGCAGTAACTTCCGAACTTGCAAAAGAAGAAAAAGCCACAGCTTCTGGGCTCGTCTCTTTCAGGAAGACCCTGGAGGTTCTTGAAAGCACAAATTAGCCAGCTCCTTCCTTGAGATGCGGGGCGTGACGGATGGGTCCAGGGTGACAGAGTACCACCACCATCCCGAGGGGATAACCTGGCGCCGGCCGCTCATTCGGAGTTCTTCCCACATCGGGATCTCTTGTAACCTCGTGCTTAGGGATCGTTTAAGGTTTAGGAGTTACTTCTGCGGGGGCTCATAAACGGGCAGTTACTTGGCCTCTATGCTCGCGGCAGACCGTTTTGGGCCATGTATGTGCATTTGATGCTACACCTCCGCGGCCCGATCCCGCAACGGAGAAGACGGGCACTGGCCAAAATAGTTGCAGAACCACCAACCATCGCTGCGGCCTGTTCGGATACTCTTGCCAACGTTAGCCCGCATCGTTCCAGCTCTTGTTGATGAAGTGCGGAGCCCCAAATTCAACCCTGCGGCCGACAATGAAGATGTCTCGAAAGGCTCCGCTTAGGCTGCAGCCCAACTGAGCGAAAGCAGGGTTCAAGCCATAAAAGCACTTGCGAGTTCGTTACATGCTATCCAGGTTCCAGGTGCCACGGCGAAGGCCACGTGTCCCACTGGGCAGCATTACCGTGAGGCTGGTCTGTGATTTGTAATGTATATTCTTTCTCACACAGTTGTCATGTAACGTAAGATGTACTAGCTACACTATATGATATTGTGGATATAACCGAACCCAGCAGCCCCAAAGCCACGCAGACAAGAAGCAAGAGTCTGGCCGAGGTAAAGCACAGCGACCTCGACATAGTTGGGTACTGCAGGGGCCTTTTTATTGCAATGGGATTGTGCGGTAGAGTATACTACAATTACAATAAGGAGCCTTGAGCAAGAGCATTACTAGTTTTTTCCGGCCCTTGTATTAAAGGGTTAGGGACTCGCGGTATAGAAAACTCGAAACTCGCGTCAGGAACCGACACGTGTATTTGTTGTAGACTTCAAGCAGTGCCAGCACCTCCCACAATGCTATAGACCGGGGGGCCTGACAGCTCGCCTCGGCAAAAAGCGGATGGCGCTTGGCACTGGGCGCGAACAAGTCCACCTCAAAGCGGTCGGTCCACACTCATGTGTGATCCTTCATTTCTTGCTGCCGGTGTTGCAAGTGCTACTATCGTAAAACCGATTGCTCCCATTCTTCGTGTTTGCACTGCTATCACTACTCGTAATTTCCAACCTCAGGAGCTCGGCTACTTCGAACGCGAATGTTGTGCTACTATGTTTTTAAACTACCTCGCAAGTGGAGCTACAGGTTAAACCTGTTGAAAAAATGTCAGCACAACACGGAAGGCTGTTGTCTCCCAGCTCTGAGAATACGAGTCAAGCCCTGGAAGTCGAAGTCATGGCGTGATCCAGCAGAATTACCTTGCTCCTGCATTGCCGGATCAAGGTTCGAGCGTGGGTTGAAGTTGACATCAGACCAAAGCGAGCTACAAGCATGAGGCATCAGGGACCTCTACCCCGCACCGGGCACTGCTCCGAATACAGCCAAGCTGCCCCGCTGACGCGCGTGGCAAAGCCACTCGTCTCCTGCACGCAGTATGGAAACATATATTTCTAGAACTATGGGCTATACGGATTACCATAAAGGTTGGCTCTTGGGGCTACTTTAGGGATGGATCCCAATGGCACTAAAATATGACGTCAGGGCCGCTAGAGGTTGCGAAGCCAGGATTTGCCACCCGGCCTGCATCGGCCCCCCTGTCTCTTCGTAGAGCTTTCGGGACTCGGACGGAGGAAACAAAAAGAACCTTAGATGGCATCTGGGAAGTCTCAAACCAAATGACATCCAATTGACACTTCTTGGGGGTGTCGTTCTGTCTTCGGAGTGGCTGGCAATCGTGCTTGGAATCTACAAAACTTCTTTGCCGCCCCGTGCGTTCATAAAGGCGTGATCTGAACCAAAAGGTCGCGCTCTCTGCTAAAGATGGCCGGTCTTGGACCAAGCAGCACTCGTCTTCCTTCGATCTGGTTGAACCAGAGATGGGCACCAGCATTTTCCACCTGGGGAAGAGAAGGGTAAGACCGAGAGAAACCAAGAGAGAGAGAAAGAGTTCTCTAGTTCTTTAAATTACGGTCCCCTGCATGGGCCCGTTTGGCAAAAGTGACGTGCTGTTAGGGGGCGGGAACAGGAACGAGGCCGAGTAGCATGGAGCCGTGTGATGGAGCCCGTGGCGGCCAGTGTCACCTGCACCAAGAGCAAAGCTTCCCATGCTGAGGGCCCGCTGGAAACATAGCTCTGCCATAAGGGTAGTAAGAGGGGAGTCTAAGGCTTGCTTCTGAAAAACGTAATTCTAAGCTGTGAGGCAGTTCCACATTCAAGGTCGGCAGCACTAGAGGGACTGGTGGTGTCGGCACTTGGAGCAGCATTGGAGCAATTTAGTACGCCATGTACCCTTTTGCAGCAGGCCTCGTTGTCCAGCAGCTCGGTTTTGCCAAACACACACTCCCCTAACCTACAGCAAGGAGAGCATGCGAACTGACGCCTCTGAGGAAGCTGCTTGAAATGTAATCATGCGCCCTAAAACCCAAACCTTAGACCGCCAAACCCTGAATCCCAAAGACCTTCTGCCCTGAGCGAAAAAAACCCTAAACCGAGAACAAAAGACAACAAAATCCCGCCCCGCCTTGTAGAACCTTGACAGAGTCTCCATGGGGTCCTAAGTCGAACGGGGGCACAAACAAACAGTTACTCCCAAACTTCGAAAACTGCACAGGTAAGCAGAGGTAAGACTAGTGACTAGTGCGTTGCGCCCATCTGCAAGCAACGGCTCATATACGTGCAGTTCTGCACTGGGACACCTGATCTGATCGATCTTCACTGGAATCCTTGCGTAGACGCCGTCTTATGCCCGACCCTCACCGAAACATGTCCCTTGAGGGGGCTCCAGCCGGTGTTCACAGCAAGTTCTGCTGATAGGGAGGTTTGTGATTATTGGGTGTCCCTTCATGCGTGTTCCTCATCTTAAAGACCCTAATATTTAGAGCCTACATTAGGGTCCGCTTTCTAAAACTCCAACGTCGCTGGAGGGTCCTGCAAATCGAAGGCATGTGCGAAGGCGTGTGCCAGCCTGCAAAGCATCTGAGGCCGGGGAGGGGCTGGTGTCGTTTTAAACTCGGCTGCCCTTCGGGCTGCAGCGGATGACCTTTCAATATAAAGATGAGGCTTCACAAACTTGACCAACACTGAAGAAACCCTTGCCTTAGCCCCGTCCCCCAAAGCCCTTTTCCTGCGACGAGTGCCATGCATCCTGCGACCCTCCCCTGAAGTCGCCAGCCTCGGGGTGAGATCTGACAGGCCATCCGGCCCAAGCTTCGTCCAGCATTCGTCGAAGAACTTCCTTTTAGGGAGGGAGCGTCCTGGTAGGACCTTCGAGAAAAAAAACAGGGGCCAGTGAGAAGTATTACACGGGCTGAAATCACAATGAATTTTTTGGGGTATCGTAAGAGTGTAGCTATAAAGGACATCTGGCGAACTAATTGTTTAGACCCTGATGTTAGGTGCGAGCCGCAGTGATACTGGCACAAGTAATCGTGTCACGAATTGCGGAACAGTCTGAAGTGCAGAACAATGGCAAAAGGTAGTGAAAATGATATCCAATACCCCCCAGTAGTGATTGTAAGAGTCACACTGGCAGTAGCGTGAAATGGCAGTGATCTCCCCGCTCCCTCCCTCCCTCCCTCCCCTCCCCTCCTCTCCCCGGTCCCTCGCTGCCTCGCATCTACATTGAATCTACAGTCTAAATTTTCCCTCAAGCCGAGGCCCCAATCCCTCAGACCCCACAGCCTGAACCGAAGGGTCCAGGGTTCAGGGTTCCCAACCCTCAGAGGACCCCACATCCTAAGCCTCACGGCTCTGGGCCTCAGCACGCCGAAGAAAGGTGCGTAGCCATCCAGGATCAGCCGTGGGAAGGCAATGCTCTTCTCCTGTCTGTATAAGCTAGTTTTACTGCGGTTCTTGTCGGTTCAGGGTTCTGCTTTAGGTTTGTTATATGTTGGGGTTCGTATGTAGGGAATAGTGTCGAAAATGATCCAGGCTCCTTTTACAGCTTTGTTTTCCAAGCAAAGCAGGAGGTCCTGATCGCATTTCCGGTCCATGCGCTGGACCGTCCGGGTGAACTCGACCTCAACCCAAGAAGATGGGGACTCGAGGTTTTCTTGGTTTATAGCATCTGCATACATGTAGGTTTGGGGGCCTCTTATACGGCACCTCATGCCCGGGCCCCACAATCAGATCCTCGTGCTTGGATTCCTTCAAAGAAGGGGTCAAGGTCTACCTTCGTGGGATCCGACGGGGGGAAGCGGATCTCCTAGTCCCTACACCCTAAGTCTGAGATGGCCCATAACTGCAAACAACCAGCAACCCCAAACCCACCAAGGCACAGCAAGAAATGGAGATAATAATTTTCAGCAGGCTGAGGCGGGCTAAGCTTCCAAGCTGCTGCTTTCCTTCCGCGGCTGGGTCCCGATTATATACAAGGCCCTTTCCTGCTACTTACGGTCTATCATAGGTCACGCATCGTCTGAAACTCCCAACCGATGTTTTCACCGCCAACTGGAAGTCGCGAAAAGGCAAACGCTTTCCATGAGGGATCTGCAACTGTTTGGCCAGGTGGCAAAATCGGCGATGTTGGTATGAAGCGTCATCTGGTCAATGGCCTTTGGCCGGCTGGAGAGAAGTAGGATGAATGGACGTGATAATGTGCTGTGTCCTGTGTGACGTGAAGACTACATGCACGCGCCTTCGATCGCAAGAAACTGGCCTAGCGAAGTCATGCTCGAGACAAGGTGAGATCACCAGACTCAGAGTTTTGAAGCTCTCGGCAACATAGAATATACAAAATAATCAGTATGTAATACATGACATAAGCATGTGTAAGTAATCAAATGTTTTTTTGCAGATGGTGTCCGATTTTGACGCTGCTGAGAATGCAAGGGGCGCAGGGGATGTTCGGACCACTTGCTTAAGGTTTATAACAACAAGGTTGAAGGTTACCTGCCACCTGTTTCCAAGCCCTCGTTTTGCAGCGAAACGGTTTATGGGGAATTTTGCAAAGCCCTCTAACATCTTCCGAGCTGCTGCTTCATCGCATTCCTGAGGAAATGCAAGGCATCATGTGTGGGGTCAGAAGAGTCGAAGGACCCCCATAGCAGCCGAAGCTGTGGTAAGTACGGCTGGCTGCGTGCAAGCATGCGCACCAGGAGATCCTCCTCCTGTGGCTGCGCAGATCCCCACCCGGCCTGCATTTCTTCAGACATTTGCATTCCTGCTCTGGGGAGGGCTGAGGGCTGGAGGTGTGCACCATGGCTTTATGGCCAGCACCCCGAACAAGCCCTCACTGAAGACATGAACATGAAGAACGACCAAGCTTCGAATGCTGGGAATTGTGGCCGGCAGAACCTTGGGTGAGAATCCGGCGTTGAGATACTACAGTTTGCTCCATCAGAGCCGGGCCGTCTTGGAGCTTCATGAACAGCCAGGAACCCGCATGGGATTTCGGATCCCTTCGTGGCAGCCCTGCAGCCCTAAAGCCTTGAAGGCGCCACGAAGCCTTCCGATTTACGCTCCGAAACCCCCGCTCATACCCTGCCAGCTCAGTAGCCAGTAGTCGTGTCCACAGTCCCTCTTGAAGAACTCTAGATTCCAGAACCGCGCATACCAATCGCCTGAGATGCTGCTGGCATGGTCGGTTCCCACAAAAATCATCTGATTCAACTGCTGGGGGTTTCGGGTTTCAGGTTTTTTTCTTCTAGGGTTGGGGCTTACCGGGTTAAGGCTTGGGCTTAGGTTTCAGGATTTCCATGTTCTGTAAACACTCTACTGGTTCGTAAAGCCCCCACAAAGCCCGGAAAGTGTACCTCCCCTTCAGATAAAACCCTCATGAACTCACATAATAGTACGCCCCACGCCGAAAACACTGAACCCTAAAATAACACCCGAACCACCACCTCCCCCCCCCCCCGCNNCCCCCCCCCCCCCCCCCCAGAATCAACCTCCAAAGCTCCGCCAAGGAGCGCTGCTTCTCCAAAAGCACCGGGGCCTCCAGAGCGATGCCCTCGAGCCCCCGCAGGCGCTGCACCTCCTTGCCTTAAGGGCTCGGCTCCCCCAATAAAAGGGGGGCCCTTCTCAACTAGAATTATGCTATGCTTCTGTGGGACGAAGAGTGTTGCAACTGGGGTAACTAAGCCTAAGGAGTAGTATTCGCACTGACGACAGCTTCTGTATTACACCCTGGACCCGTCAACACAACCTCTGCAAATTCCTTAAAGGAGCATTTTTAAAACTGAGAGACTTTTGAAGCGTTTAGGACTTAGGGCTCCTTGTCTCAGCGGATCGGCTGAACGGACGTTTACGGGTTCAGGCTTGGGGTTTTTTGTAAAGGCTTGAAGATCGTTGAATATCGCTAAATGGTTTTGTGGGGAAAAGCGAGGCTCTTGTAGGGTTTTCAAGTTTGAGGGTTTCTTAAAAATTGCTCTTGCAGGGTTTCGGGTTGAAGTGTCTTGTCAAGTCGAGGGCCGTTGAGGGCTTGCTTCTTGCGTTGGCTAGGCTTTCTTACAGGCTTTAGGATCGGGTAAACTTCGAAGTTTCAAAGGGCTGGATGTTAGAGCTATAGGGCTCGTTCACGGCCTCAAGGCCTTGGTGCAACTTACTGTCGATATGATGGGCAGGCAAGAAGCTCTTCAAGGGTCTGGCTGGAGTCTTCTCTCACTTCGCAGTGGTCTAAAGGACATTTGGCTCGTGAAGCGATTTAGTTGTGACTACCAAGGCAGCTATCCACGGCTGAACTTACTTCCGCAATGTCCAGGGCTCAAACTTTCAACAGCATCCCCGCGTTTTAGAAGCCCTGAATCCTAAACCCTCTCAACCCAGAGGATTGAAGGTTTGATATAGGAGAACTGAAGGGAATCTTCTGCAAATCCGGCTTCTGGCCTCATGCCCTGCAGCACCGGTTTGGGCACAGAAATTCATTTGGGGTTACCTTTCGAAAGGGGATAGAGGACAGGGTTACTTGAAGGGGAAGAGTTCTATAGGGGTTGTTGTGTGGTTTGGGGGCTAAGGTGAGTGTTCTCCAGCTTTTCGGGGGCTTCGGTTCCGCAGCTGGAGGTTGCGGGAAATACGCAAACCGAAAACTCTTTTGTACCATGGGTTGAGGGCTTAAGATGGTACACCCGAAACCCTAGCAATCGAGACCCAGAAGCCGCTTATCTTTTTTCCTTGGTCGGTTGTCAGATTCCGGGACGAAGCCGAAGCACACTCGGCGACGCTGGCAAGCCGAACGTTCCTCCAAAATTCGCTGGACCATATGCCTACATGTACTACAGCATAACAGAGTACAGTATTATATATATATATATATATACATACAGGATAAGGATACCTTTTTAGGGGTCCCTTGAAAGTCCCCTTACGGCTTCCTTAGAAACCCGGTGATGGGGGGGGGGGGTGTAGGGGTTCGATAGAATTTCTTGAAGTTCGTCTTGGAATTCAGTGCTATGAGGCTTCAGAGAAGGAACGGCAAGGGTCTATCTTATGACCGCACTCTCTGCTGTGCAAGTTTTCATGTACTGCCCAAGTCCTGTACCAGTCTTCTCGCAGGCTCTGCAAGTGCCGGCAGAAGGCAGCCTTCGCGCTGAGCAATGGCCTAAGGGGTGGCCTGGAGGGCTGAAGAATTAGAATAGGATGTTCGTGCAGGCGCCGTAGCTGGGTCTGCTTAGCATTCATTGGGCTTCTGCTCTGGACTCTGGACAAAGCGGACTTGCCAGATGAGTCGCGGCCTCGCGTGAAACTCAGCAGTGAAGTTTCAGGGTTTCGACACGACGCTCTTCTTAAGCGTTGCGTCTCACCTGAACCCGATGAAGCCTCTCTCCCTGAATCCTGAACGCCGGCAGCTCATGCAGTAATTTGGGGTGTAGGGTTTGGGGGCTTGGGGAGTTAAAGCTTCAGGGGTTTGGGGTCTTATGGGTTAGGGTTCTGGGTTCTAAGCTTCAGGGTTCGGGTTGTCAAGGTTCGGACTTAAAGCCTACCTTACATGGGATCCTTGCACCCTAAACGCCGAACGTGTGACATATGTTACACCCTGTTACACCCTAAACGCCTAAACAGTAAAAACATCCCAAATGTAGAACCCTACCCGACATGTTAAGTGCTGCAAAGTTCTGCGAAGCCCGACACCGAAACAATCAATCCAACTGGTAAGACTCTACTTCACGTGGTCTGTCCCCCTACGCTCGAAACTCCTAAACCGCAGCAGAAATATAGCCCCACCCATACACACGCGTAACCCCACGTCGCTAAGCTCGTAAATCCATCATCTCAAGAGGCTTCACAAAAGCCTTACAACTGGAATAACATCCTGAAGCCCGAACATCCCTGAACCTTAAAACTTAATCCGTCAAGATGCATACTCAATGGTCGGTTCGTCGATCTTCCTCTTCGCAAGCTCCAGCCTCCGTGTTGGAGCGGTTGTGGGAGGCTCGGGGCCTGTTGTACGCTAGGTGGTGCGGCATAGTACAGAATCGCTCGAATAGGATTGTGGGACACTTTATAAAACACTTTAAGAAGTGTTCTGCTAGGAAACTGTAAGGAACAGTAATACCAGATATTTGCTAAACCCTAAGGCCTACAGCCCATTTTGAAAGCCTATGTCTCTTAAAGTCCGGCACCTATATGCCAAAGCCCTAGACCCTTCCAAAAACCCCTAGCAAACCCGCAGTTTGGATCGTTCAGGGATCCTTATAGAAGCCCTATATATACCAGTGTGGGCCCCAAGAGCAGTCGGAGGCGGACCCGTAGCATCCTCGGTTGCCGGGATTCCAGTCTGATGCGATAGAGGAACAGGGCCTGAATACTTCGAAAAGGGTTTTCGGGAGGTGTGATGGGACAAGACGTCTGTTGGGGGAAGCGAAACTAGAGGAACCTGTGCCTCACCTGGGATTTTCCAGCCATCTCCGTCTTGGCATTGGCTTTTCTTAGGGGTTTGCTCTACCAGAATTATAAGAAGGCGCCCTAAGGACTAGTATGACTAATTCTTCAGGGCCCTGTCCCCGTATTATGCACTTAACTTGCCGAGGATTGGGTGCTTGACGAGTATTTGCAAAATGGCAGATGCAGGGTTAAGATAAGCAGAACGCCGCTTGCTCTAAACACCCTCAACCGTGGTGCCAGGCGTGTTCACCTCGGTGCCAGCGAGAGCAAGCAGTCGTCTTTTCACGGTCTCCCTGCTGCGTCTCTTGGCTTGTCCGCACGGCTACGTGAAGGCTCCGGGGACTCGGGAAGTAGGTGATACGCACATCGACAAGTAGCCTCTGTGGGGTATCCAAGCTCTAAGCTGTATACTGATCCTGAAAAGTTCCGAGGCCTATGGAACTGTATCGATAACTTACAAAACCTGTATACATCACTAAGTAAGTCCCCTGATGCTTTGAGCACGGCTCAGGCGGCGTTTATTGGGCGCGAGACGCCGAAGTTTTCAGATCCAACCTAGGCGGGGAGATGCTGGAAGCTCAGCTTCGTGGGCCAAAGATTTTGGAGGTATGTCAGAAGATCCTCATATATAAGAGGAACCCCAAGCAATAGTATTAGTTAGTGTATTCAGCCTTCTATTTTCGTAGCAAAGCCAGGGGTGCGCCTGCAACAGAGGGGCTTTAATAAGGGTTTCGCAGGCTTAGGGTTCGGGGGGCTATGTTCATTCAGATGCGTTAGGTCTGACATGATCAGTTGGGTGTCTGGCGTTCTGGCCCTACAAGCGTGCCGACTTACGCGTTACTGGATCTTGTTGATGATGGCGATTGTCATTTCTTCTCTCTCTCTCTCTCTCTCTCTCTCTGTACTAATGTACACATTATTCAACAAATCAATCAATAAATGAAGAAAGAAAGAACGAAATAAATCAATCAAGTTTTGTACACACATGCCACTACACATGAAGGTTAGCTTCTCTTGTTTGCACCGCCTACCAGGGCTTAATCTTCTTCGCATTGTCTATACGACACCTCTAAGTGACACTACTAGCATAGGCCCCACATCGAGACACGTAACGACGGTCCATGGTGATAAGGGAAATTCGACGGATCCGCATAGTAATAGCGTATTGGGGAACCAAAATAAGTAGACTCTGCCTCACTACTAACACTGCCGTCTGTTGTATTGCTATGAGCGTTTACCGCGGCTTGAAAGCTTGGCTAAAACTGAGGTGTCTCAGGAGGACTCCAAAGTTCAGAATCGATGCAAGCGCCCCCCGCC